TGTCTCTCTCTGCTCCTCCTGCTCAGGCCGGGACGGTGATCTGGATTGGAATCCTGGTTTACACGGATCCTGCTGGGCTCCGCACCTACCTCACGTCGCAGGTCACCGAGCAGAGTCCCCTGGGGGACGCAGGCCTGCCTCCCATGCCCGTCCCTGGAGGGGTGCTGCCTGCTGGGGACCCCAAGATGGACCTCTCGGTCTTCCCGTCGGAGCCCGTGCAGCTGCCGGAGAACCAGACGCAGCAGCGGGAGCAGCAGGAGCCCAACCAGCACACCTGGGCCCAGGGGCCCGGGGGCAGAGGGAACGGGCAGCTGGAGCTGGGAGCGGAAGCAGAGGTTACCTGGGGAGCAGAGGATGAGGAGATCTGGAGGAAGCTTTCCTTCAGGCACTGGCCAGCCCTCTTCAGCTACTACAACATCACCCTGGCCAAGAGGCAAGTGGGCTGGCATGGAGTGCCACCGGCACGGGGACCTGGGCAACTGACCCCAAGGGTTTGTCGTGCTGCTGTCCTTGGTGTCCCACACTCACTGCTTCCATGGGCTCGTTCCAGCTGTGTCAGGAGGAGCTGCTGAGCAGGTCCCCTGGGTGGGCAGAGCTCACAAACCCCCCGGGCTGTTCCTCTGGGAATCAGGGTTGTTTCACTCTGGGCTGTTGAATGTGCTGGGGGTCTTGTGTCTTCCTTGACCCTGGAAGTGAAGTTTTAGATTTTACAAAACAAGGAAAGGAGGCTCAGGGGGGACCCTGTGGCTCTGCACAGCTCCTGACAGGAGGGGACAGCCAGGGAGTCGGGCTCTGCTCCAGGGAACAGGGACAGGAGGAGAGGGAACGGCCTCAAGTGTTCCCAGGGGAGGGTCACGGTGGGTATTGGGAAGAGTCCTTCCCCAAAAGGGTTGTCTGGCCCTGGCACAGCTGCTCAGGGCAGTGGTGGAGTCCCCATCCCCGGGGGGATTTGAAAGCTGTGTGAATGGGGGGCTTGGGGACATAGGTTAGTGGTGGCCTTGGCAGCACAAGGGGGAGCAGTCAGACCTGATGGTGTCAGAGGGCTTTTGCAGCCTCAGTAATTCCACAGTTGTCTGATACAATCATCTGTAAGGGATGGAAACAGTACATGTGAGGAAGAGACAGCAGAGCCAAAGAAGCTTCTTGGTGAGACCTCCCAGCCTGCAGCACACAGGAAACTAGACTTAAACCCATGGGATCCACCTGATCTCACCAGGACTCCATTTCTTTTGGCTCTTGGAAGGGTTATAACCTGGGGAATAACTTCAGAGGAGTTTATTTCCAAGGAGATCCTTCCGAGGAGATGAGAGCACCGCTGGAAGCAGCTCCTGCCGTGGCTGCCCAGCAGCTGTGCTGCCCCCTCGTGCCATCCTGAGCCGATGCCCTGTGCCCCTCAGGTACATCAGCATCCTGCCGGCCATCCCCGTGACGCTGTACCTGAAGCCTCAGGAGGCCCTGGAGCTGCGGCACCCGCAGGAGGCCTCTCGCTCCCAGCCCTTCCTGGCCGACCCCGGCGCCCCGGCCGCGCAGCCCCGCGCCCCCCAGGACGTCACCCTCTACAAGTACCGTGTCCTGCCTCGGCCCCGGGGCTGCTCCTGCTGCTGGGAGACAGAAAAGCTCCCGAGGGCCCAGTGCCACAGCTCGGGGTGCTCCCTGCCAAGGGACATTGCTGTCTCCTGGCAGCTTTCCGTCTGCTGGGGGCAGGAACGGGCTGTGCTCCTGCTGCAGTGGGGGGATGACCACGGGGTGATAAGGACAGAAGGGCAACTTGGGGGTTTAAATGTGATTTCATAGAGCCCCAGAACGGTTTGGGTGGAAGGGACCTTAAAATCAATCCAGTCCCACTCTGTGCCATGGCAGGGACACCTCCCACCATCCCAGCGTGCTCCAACCTGGCCTTGGACACTGCCAGGGGTCCAGGGGCAGCCACCACCTGGATATAATTTGATAATGATTTACTGGGGGTTAGATCAATCTCTGGTGCAAGGAACTTCCCTCTCTGTGGAGAGAACAGCTCACAACCCCTGCCTGAATCTGCAAGTGCTGAGCACACTCTGTTATCCCAGTCCCCAGCTGGTGTTTTCTTAAAACCTTAGTTGCTCATTACTTTCCTTACTGAAAAGCCTCAAAAATCTTGTAGAAATTGTCATTTTCCCATTAACCCCCTGCTTAATTTCCAACAAATCTCTGTAATTTGTTGAAAAGCTTCCTCAGCTGAGAAATTCAAACCAGCGCATGAATAATCCTGGCACAAGGCTTCCCAAATCTATCCGTGGGCTAGAAACCGGGAGTTTATTTTCTTACCTTCTCTCCTCGGTGTGTGTGTGTCCCCCAGGGTGGCTGCTCTGGGCCTGGCGTCGGGCATGCTGCTGGTGCTGCTGCTCTTCTGCCTCTACCGGGTGCTGTGCCCCAAGAACTACGGGCAGAACGGGCCGGGCCGGCGGCGCCGGGGCGACCTGCCCTGCGACGACTACGGCTACTCGCCCCCCGAGACCGAGATCGTGCCCCTGGTCCTCAGGGGGCACCTCATGGTAGGTCCAGCTTAGGAGGGAGCACGTGAGGAAAAGTTATTGGAGCACGAAATTCCTGCAGCGTGTTCTGATCTCCTCCTGGGGCTTGCTGTCTGCGATTCCCACCGCCTCTGGTTCCATTCCCTGCTTTGCTGGGATCTCTGCACCTTGCTGAGCTCCCAGGGACAGCTGGATGTGGCACTCTGGGCTGGGTGACAGGGTGGGGATCACTCACAGGTGTGACTCAGTGGTTCAGGAGGGCTTTTCCAGCCTGGGATGAGCCTGGGATTCCTCCTGTTCTGGGCATTCAGACAGACGAGGTGACAGCGCTGTGCTGTGTCTCCCAGAAAAGCTGTATCTCTGCTCCTGAGCCCGCCTTCAAACTGGGGTGGAATTTTTTAGGGGAGGCAAGACAAGATGAAGTCTGTTGGATTTGCAGCAGTCCAGTGCACACTCAGGTCTCTGGGCAGAGATCCTGGAATCTCAGGATGGTTTGGGTTGAAACTCATCCAGTGCCACCCCTGCCATGGCAAGGACGCCTTCCCCTATCCCAGGTTGCTCCCAGCGCCATCCAACCTGCCCCCGGATCCTTCCAGGGATGCCCATGTCCTCAGCAACCCTCAGTTCCTAAACCAGCCAATTTTGACCTAAAACCCATCATCTCTGCAGTTCTGCAGCCACACCAGACTGTGGGCAGATCCAGAGGCCTTGGTGGTGCCACACTGAGCTGTGCTTGTCCTCCCTTCCTCCCAGGACATCGAGTGCCTGGCCAGTGACGGGATGCTGCTGGTGAGCTGCTGCCTGGTGGGGCAGATCCGCGTGTGGGACGCGCAGACGGGCGACTGCCTCACCGTCATCCCCAAGCCCAGGTATGGCCCTGTCCCCACAGCCCCTGCTCCCCAAACCTGGTTATGGCCCTGGCCCTGTCCCCACAGCCCCACGCTCCCCAAACCCAGGTATGGCCCTGGCCCCACAGCCTCTGCTCCCCAAACCCAGGTATGGCCCTGTCCCCACAGCCCCTGCTCCCCCAAACCTGGGTATGGCCCTGGCCCTGTCCCCACATCCCCACGCTCCCCCAAGCCCAGGTATGGCCCTGGCCCCACAGCCCCTGCTCCCCCAACGCAGGTATGGCCCTGGCCCTGTCCCCACAGCCCCACAGCCCAGGTATGTCCCTGTCCCTCTCCGTGTCCCTGTCCCTGTCCCCACAGCCCCTGCTCCCCCAAACCCAGGTATGGCCCTGGTCCTGGCCCTGTCCCTCTCCCTGTCCCCACAGCCCCACAGCCCCTGCTCCCCACAGCCCAGGCATGGCCCTGGCCCTGTCCCTGTCCTTGTCCCTGTCCCCACAGCCCCTGGTCCCAGGAAGGAGCCACCCCCGCGCTGCTGAGCTTTGTCCTCCTTGCAGGCTGCGCAGGGACAGCAGCGGCATCTTCGACTACCAGGAGGGCTGGGATGCCAGCCCGGACGGCAAGAGCGGGCCGGAGGAGTCCTTGGAGAGCAGCCACCAGCTGAAACGGCTGCTGGGGCCGCCGCCGGCCCCCCTGTTCTGCGACCAGCCCGACCTCAGCTCCCTCATCGACACCAACTTCCTGGAGCGCGCCGGGGCGGCCGGCTCGGAGCCGCGGCTGCGCGCCGTGGGCGCTCGCCACAGGGACTCGGGCTACGACTTCAGCAGCCTGGTGGGGAAGGTGTACGAGGAGCACGGCGGCCCCGGCTGCAGGAGCAACGGGAGCTTCCCGGGGCTCGCGGCCCCGCGCGGCCCCGACGAGGGCGGCTGCGGCGGCCGCCGGCGCAGCCTCGGGGAGCGCAGCCCGGGGGACGAGCCCTGCGCGGGCTGCGACAGAGCCTCACCCCTGCACTCCTGGGGAGGCGACCTGGAGAGCTCCATCTGGAGCCTGGAGCTGCAGGGGAACCTCATCGTGGCTGGCAGGAGTAACGGGAAGCTGGAGGTGAGGAGCGGGGACACGGCAGTGGGGAGGTGGGGATGAATGGGGACACAGTAATGGGGAGGAGGAGATGAGGGACAGGGACACAGTAACGGGGAGGAGGAGATGAGCAGGGACACAGTAACAGGGAGCAGATGAGGGACAGGGACACAGTAACAGGGAGGAGGAGATGAGGGACAGGGACACAGTAACAGGGAGGTGGAGATGAGCAGTGACACAGTAACAGGGAGCAGATGAGGGACAGGGACACAGTAATGGAAGGTGGAGATGAGGGACAGGGATGTAGTAAAGGGGAGGTGGAGTAAGGAGCAGGGACACAGTAATGGGAAGGTGGAGATAAATGGGGACACAGTAACGGGGAGGTGGAGTGAGGAATAGGGATGTAGTAATGGGGAGGGGGAGTGAGGAGCAGGGACACAGTAACACAGAGTGGAGTGAGGAGCAGGGACACAGTAATGGGAAGCAGGAGAAGAGGAGCAGGGACACAGTAATGGAAGGTGGAGGTGAGGAACAGGGATGCAGTAACAGGTGGAGATGAGCAGGGATGCAGTAACGGAGTGGAGAAGAGGAGCAGAGATGCAGTAATGGGAAGCAGGAGAAGAGGAGCAGGGATGCAGTAATGGTGGGGGAGATGAGGAGCAGGGATGCAGTAATGGGAGGCAGGAGATGAGGAGCAGGGATGCAGTAATGGGAAGCAGAAGAGGAGCAGGGATGCAGTGATGGGAAGCAGAAGAGGAGCAGGGATGCAGTAATGGGAAACTGGAGATGAGCAGGGATGCAGTAACAGGTGGAGATGAGCAGGGATGCAGTAATGGGAAGCAGGAGAAGAGGAGCAGGGATGCAGTAATGGGAAGCAGGAGATGAGGAGCAGGGATGCAATGACAGGTGGAGGTGAGGAGCAGGGATGCAGTAATGGGAGGTGGAGGTCACACAGCCAGCCTGGGAGCGTGCACAGGGAGCTGTGACCTGCTCACTCAGCTCGGGGGCTGGCAGCAGAGCACAGGGAGCTGTTCAGGATCCCAGCTCCCCGTGTCCCGTGCTCCTCTGGCCAGTGTCACCGCAGAGACCCCTCCTCCCCCAGGTGTGGGATGCCATCGAGGGGACCCTCCGCAGCAGCAATGATGAAGGACAATCCGGCATCACGGCCCTCGTCTTCCTCAACAACAGGTAACTCCTTGGGCAGGTGCTGGGAGAGCCCCAGCCCCGGCCTCCACAGCTGCTCCCGGCAGCAGAGGCTGGGCTGGGACGTCTCTTCCTTGGAATCAGTGTTGTGGAATGTCCTGAGCTGGAAGGGGCCCCCAAGGATCATGGAGTCCAACCTTGGCCCTGCCCAGAACACCCCAACAACCCCACCCTGTGCCTGAGAGCTTTGTCCAAACACTCCTGAGCTCTCGGGGTTGGAGCCGTCACCATTCCCAGGGGAGCCCATCCAGTGCCCAACCACCTTTTCTCGCTATCCAGCCTCACGTCCAGCCTGATCCTTCTGTGTATCCACCTCTCACCAGCTTTCCTGGCTCCAGGCCTGCTCCAGCAGCCACTTCCTCAGCCCTCAGTCTTGCAGCAGCTGAATGTCCGGAGGGTTCCAGGGCTGGGGCACCTTTGGGTCCCTGCTGCTCCAGAGGCACTGCCACTGTCCAGTCCGTTCAGAGCTGTGGCCAGTGTCCCAGCCCAGCTCCCTGCGGCCTCCTCCCGGGGGTGGGTGCTCCGTGCATGGCCCGGGGGTGCCCAGGTTTGGGGCTCGGGGAGGGGCCTCTCCTCAGCCCCCACGACTCTCCCTCAGGATCGTGGCTGCCCGGCTGAACGGCTCCTTGGATTTCTTCTCTCTGGAGACACACACGTCCTTGAACCACCTGCAGTTCCGAGGTGAGCAGGCGTTGGGATGTCAGTGGCTGCCCTGGGCTCCTGCCTTCCCCTCCTCCCTCTTCCTCCTCGTAGCTGAGTCTTCCTCACAGCCCCTTCAGCTTTGGTGGTAACTGCTGGTAACTTTGGTGGTAACTGCTCCAAAAGCACCCGGGGCTGTGCCGAGCTGAGGGCTGCTGGGGGAGCTCCCTGTGCTGGGGAGGAGCACTCGGGTTAGCCCTAACCCTAATCCTAACCCTTCCCCATCATCCCCCTGCTGGATTTCCCCAGGGCATGGGGCCAGAGGCTCCCATGTGCTTCCAGGGCCAGCTCTGCCCTCACCTCCTTCCACTTCTCCCTCCTTTCTCCCTGTCTCACCTGCTCCCAGCCCGGGAACAGCCCGAGCCCTCGGCACAACCACAGCACAGCCCAGAGGGGCCGTGGGGGTGACTGGTTAGGGCACGGGGCTCCTTTGCTTCTGGAGCAGAACACAGGGGATGATTCACATGGGACACTGGGGGGAAATTCTTCCCTGAGAGAGTGGCGAGGGACTGGGATGAATTTCCTGGAGAAGCTGTGGCTGCCCCATCCCTGGAAGCATCCAAGGCCAGGCTGGACAGGCCAAGGAGCAACCTGGGGCAGCGGGAGGTGTGGGATGGGCTTTAAGGGCGCCTCCACCCCTCGGAGGCGCCCTGCCCTGCCCAGCCGCGCGTGCCCGCAGGTGGCCCGGGCCGGAGCAGCCTGCCGCCGTCGCCGGAGCTGAGCCGCGGCGCCGCGCTGCGCTGCCGCCTGACGCACAGCGTGGCCTGCGCGCACCACAAGCCCATCACCGCGCTGCGCGCCGCCGCCGGCCGCCTGGTCACCGGCAGCCAGGACCACACGCTGCGCGTGAGCGGGGACGGGACCGGGACGGGAACGGGGACAGGGATGGGGACAGGGATGGGGACAGTGACAGGGGGCCGCCTCGTCACCGGCAGCCAGGACCACACGCTGCGCGTGAGCGGGGACGGGACCGGGACGGGACCGGGACGGGGACAGGGATGGGGGACACGGATGGGGACAGTGACAGGGGGCCGCCTTGTCACCGGCAGCCAGGACCACACGCTGCGCGTGAGCGGGGACGGGACCGGGACGGGAACGGGGACAGAGATGGGGGACACGGATGGGGACAGTGACAGGGGGCTGCCTGGTCACCGGCAGCCAGGACCACACACTGCGCGTGAGCAGGGACGGGACCGGGACGGGGACAAGGA